TGACTTGGACGAAGCATAGTCAGAGAGACCTCAGTCATAGATGAAGGGCGGCCGTTGATCAGAACGAAATTGGAGTCGTTTTCTTCGTGATCATTTGTAATACTGAGATGCTGACAGTCGCAAAGCTTTGCAATTCTTCTGCTTCAGCATATGCTTGTGGCATTATCGCTGACTTTTGCGTGCGATCTGGTATGTCGATAACAGTTTGCGTTCAACGTGGTTGACCTTATTGTTTATGAGCTTTTCTGTTCGATGTTAGCTCTTGTGGTCGCCTTGAGCAAGCAACACATACCTCATAGAGCGTTGCACGAGAAACATTGTAGCGCTAGAATGACTGCTGCGTGGCCATGATGACGGCGCGAAGGAAGTTCGGCCAGAGCAGCTCAGAAACGTCTCGTCTGTAACCATGGTGATTGTAAGGTCATGCCTGAAATGAAAACATGGCGCCTTTTAGAAATGAAGTGATTGGCAGTGGACGAAAAGGATCGTGTTCAGAATTGGGTGTGGTGGAGAAGAATGACTGAGGAAGATAAGGTGGGAGAAGAGTGTATATGGACGAGGGGTGGGTGTGTGCATAAGCAACACCACCATCGAGAAACGAGAAGGGAACTGCCTAAACAGAACCCAAGTCTTGATGCGCGCGGAAATAAATGAAATGAAGCAGTTTGAAGCCTTAGATCCGGTCAAGAAGATTATGAGGAGATCCGTTTGTAAATTTGTATTCATGGATGCGATATTGGGGTTTGAGAGAATCACTGGTGATGAGAAGCTGAGATTCTTGAGCTGGAGTTACAGAGAACAGAGGAGGGGTGGGAGTAAAGAGAAAGCTGTGTTGCGCACGGACCAGATCCGCAATTCAGCTGCGCATCGCTTCAGGGTCCAATGGCGCTAACTCAAATAGAGGTCGGTGGATATATCTTCTGAGCATCGCCTTGGGCGTCGTCCAACTTCATGTCACCCAGTCAAGTGCGCATAGGGAGCCATTCCAAGAAATTTGCCTACTATTCTTGAAGCGCGTCTTTCTTCAAGCTGCAATGCGTGGACTGGCAGCAATATGGAAGAGACTCAGTTGTTCCAAGCTTGCCTCATTTAACCTGCTCCTCCAGTCTCCTCGAGGTCCGAATACTGAGCAATCCTTCAAGTGTTGAGATACGGGTCTATTTTATTCAAATAAGATTCAACAATCATCTCAACACTTATCTTACAAGAGACTTTACCAATATGCATCTTGTCAGACAATGACTGTCTCGCGCCGTAGAACATTCCCATCATGGCTTGTCGTGAGGTAAGGTTCCAAAGTTCTTGAAGAGCAATACAGTCTCTATTGTCACTCTATTTGTGAGTATGTATGCGAAAGAAAGTCAATATGAGAGCAGCTACATTAGATTGTGGTTATTGCTTGAACCCCTGGCAATGGGCTGCAGCGGGGGTTAGTCAAGTCAAGCTATTGTCCATTGCACTGGATATTCAGAAGTCATTGTTGCTAACCATTTGCAAAACTCCTCCCTCAGCCTCTTTCGCTTCTTTTCCGAATCACTTTCGCCTCCTCCCCTTTACCAAAAAACACCAAGTTAAGACCTACCACCCTTTGAAGCACATACAGCTATCCTGTCTTCCTTCTTTCTTGAGAAGATACTTCGCGGCATACTATCATCGCTTTCGTCAAGCCAGGCAATGATTCAGATACCGTTACAGTGATCCAACATGGCAGCTCAACAGGCGACCCCAGTTCTCGTGCTAGGCATTGACTTTGGCACCACGTAAGCAACCAACCCTTCCTCATGTACTCTCTCTAACGTCTTCCTTATAGATATTCAGGCATCGCGTGGTGTCGAGCCGGCGAAAATAACGAGATCAAATTCACCACCAACTGGAAAAAGCGAAGCTTCGCCCAGGGAGACAAGCAGAAGGTCCCCTCGGCGATCTTTTATCATCACCTGAATGATGAAGACCCTGAATGGGGCGCGACAACTCCGCAGGATGATACTGTCCTTCGCTGGTTCAAGCTCCTTCTCGTCGATGAGAAAGATCTCCCGGATCATATCCGACACTCTGTTCAGCTGAAGACAGCTCGGGCTCTAATGTTGAAGGCTAATAAGACCTCAGTTCAGATCTTGGGCGACTACCTGCGACAGCTTTGGCGTCACTGTCGTCAGAACATTGTCAGGGCCGAGGGTCGCCGAATGATGAACGTCTCGGCAGTCCACCTTGTTGTCACTCTGCCTGCTATATGGCCGCACTACGTCCGATCCAGAATGACGGAGGCTCTGGGGCACGCCGGTCTTCTTGAAATCACCCGAGCTGGACAGACAACGTTGACCTTTATCTCTGAGCCCGAGGCGGCTGCCTTGACCTGTCTCAAGGAGAACGCCGATCGCTTCAATGTCAGGGTGAGTGCAAAACGAGTTTCCTGTTACTGGATTTTAGTTAATTGTGTTTAGGTGGGCGATCATTTCGTTATATGTGATGCAGGAGGTGGTACTGTCGTAAGTTTTAGCTGTCGTTTCCTGGTGAACCCCTTCTGACAAAATAGGATCTCGTTACCTACAAAATCGAGAAGCTTGGTCCTCTCATTATGAGTGAGAGCGTCAAAGGTGATGGTAAGTCATCAGGGCCGCTGTATGATGCACGTTTGACTGACCTTGACCAAGGTGGCCTATGTGGCGCCATGTTCCTCGACGAGAGGTTTCTAAAGCTACTAAAGGAAACGATCCCTTTTGAGGCTCAGAAGAGGCTTGATAAACAGACCTTCCACAGGATCATGGAGTCTGATTGGGAAGGCGGCTTGAAGTCCTCCTTCTGCGAGTCCAGCGGAGACTTTCCCATACAGCTCTCGTACGACGGCCCCGTGGACACCAACTTCTTCCCTTCCAAGTTCAGTATCAACGTGTAAGTGCTTGAAATGGCCCCATCGTGGCACCCCGGGAATGTTCATAATTCTCTATCAAGACCTTCACGGGCGTCTTCGTGGTATCTACCTCGTCCTAGCTAACCCAGTGCTAGTTCCGAAATCCGCGAGAATGTGTTTGACCCTGTAGTCAAGCAGGTTAAACAGCTCGTTCAGAAGCAGGTTGATGCAGTCAAGCACAAGTACAAGAAGAAGCCAAAGGTGAGTCTGTTCGTCATCTCGTTCGATGACAGACTGCCTAACATCGTTTAGTTCGTCATCCTAGTTGGTGGCTTTGGCAGGTCTCTTTATTTGCATGAACACCTTCAGGATGCTGTTGGAAACAGAATAGACGTTCTTCAACAGGACGGTGAAAAGCCGTAGGTCATCTCGACGCTTCTTGAAATTCCGTTGATTGACAATTATTTGTAGCTGGACCGCTGTGCTTCGAGGAGCTGTCCTACATGGACTGGCGAGAACCAGTCATACCAGTTCAATCACAGTTGCGGTCGCCTCACGTGTATCTCGTCACAGCTACGGAACACTTGTGAATATTTTGCCCTTTGACGCCAAAGAGCATGATGCCAAGGACCGAGTTTGGGACGATGGTCAGCAAGAGTTCCTTGCTGTCGAGCAGACACGGTGGTTTGTTGAGATCGTAAGTCAAATGGGTACATTTATGTTAATTTCTAACTTCTCCAGGGTGACTCTGTCTCTACGTATGACCCCGTTTGTGCATCCTTCTGGCAGGACCTCACGAGCCCCGACCAGGATCTCCAAATCGACATCGTTACCTCGGACGCTTCTACTCCCCCGACCCGCAAGGACGATTCCGTCAAGCCTATGTGCGTTATAAAATCTTCCGAGCTTCCCAAATGGGATACCATACCGGTATGGACCAACGAAGACGGCCAGGTATTCCACCGAATCACTTACGAACTGCGCATGATCAGCGATGGGTCCTCCTTAGAGTTTCAAGTCTACTACAAGAACAAGAGCATTGCTTGTGGAAGTGTCGCTTTCGACTCTACCGGTCAGAACGATACTGATGACGAGGATGACGTACAGATGGGCTCTCGTCGATCCTTGTATAACTACACCAATGACAACAATATCGTTGATATGACCGATGCCGACAGCGATAGTGATTACGTTGAGGCTAAGGAATGAATAGGGGGATGGGAGTCATGTTTGCTGGGTAAATGCTACTCAAAAAGCTCAAAAGGGCTCAACAATCATTGAGGAGTGAAAATTTTGGTTGGGCGGCATTACGAAAGTTCACAGGCATCGCTAAGGGATCAAGCATCTAGTTGCTCCATATCATATTGGGGCATATACGTCTATGTATATTCCAGTGCTGTATCTGTCAGATAGCTCATACCAGTCACGTCTTTATTCAATTCGAGTGGCTCTTTTACCATCATACGTACTTGACTGATTGTTTCATGCAGTTTTAATCCCAGTGACTAAATTCATGATTTGCGTTGCGAGTCGATTGAGAGGTCCATTCATGATACCTCACAGATGGCTCGTGAGGTCTGCATACTGTCACTGTTCAGTGTGAGTGTTTGAGATGGGCTCAACAACTTTTAGGTACACTTCTGGTTTTATGTCAAAACTTATCCACATCTGTAAAACTAGGGGATATCTCTTTCTACTATTATCCTGGTGACTCCTTGCTAAAAAGCAGAGCTGCATCCGAGAACATTTTTTGAGTTCAGTACAAGACTATAAGGCTCTCATTCTGGCGACTCGTATTATGCGAGAGAGGTATTACGATATCAAGGCTACAAGGTACATTTCGGAATGTATGAGATGAAGAATATCCTGATGTTGACCGAAGCTCATTATGGGAGGCTGATGAAGACGTTAGATATGCGTTCCAGGCCAAACTCGCATCCAACTCTGCGCAATAGGGATCAATATTACTTTGCCATTTTAATTAGATTTATATAATTTCTTTGGCTTTCGCTTCAACTCGTTAACAACTCTCTGAATTCTCGATCTTCCAACACTGTGATGCTACTGGTGACTCCGAGGGCAGTGGGGGGCTCAGTGAGTCACTCGGGGTGGAGGTATATGTTCAAATAAGCCCACACTCTTTCACCAAGAAAGCAATTTGGCGCAGTGGAAGCGCGGTATGTCTATCTCACAATCTGCATCACACAACCTGTACTAACAGACGCAGCCGGGCTCATAACCCGGAGGTCACTAGATCGAAACTAGTAATTGCTAGGTTTCATATTTTTTTGTGATTTTTCCTATCTCGATTTTGGTATTTTGAGTTGTTCTCGTTTCATGGTTTCTTTTTGGTGGTGGTTTTGCACTAAGTATCTTATAGCCTGTAGGTGTGCTGTCTGGCGCTGAGCACGTGACTGGCAACTACTTACACGATCTCTGGTCATCAATCATTGCAGCACACGGAAAGCCTCTTTCCTTTTTCTAATGGGCAATAGATAGAGGGAGTATACAAGACGAGAGTGACTTTTTATTCAAGTTCAGTCATATCTAAGTGCTTAATAAGGTATAAGTTCGCTGATCAACAGTATGCATCAGCTTACCAACTTGTACTGACTTAATGGCAAGAAGAAGACAGTATTGACTGGGAGTTATTACACACGATTACAGATTCTCCCAAACTGTGATGTCCCATGATAAGTAGGCCTAAGCTTGAAGTAGGTTTATAAATGTATAGAATCCCGCCCATGACCGCGTGACACCCAATAGGACTACCCGCAGACGCATGCATGCATACATGCCTCAGCTAAAAGATGACCAAAACGATGATTAGGCAACAGCATGTCTAACTTATTCCTCTCGAACCTCGCTTTCGTCTTTATTCTTGAGTCTTATCAGTAAATTAATGGAGCAACTAGCACAGCAATACATCGACTCGACAAATGTGACGCCTCGCTGGCTACCAGGAGGCGACGCATTTTGGTATAAGCAGAATATCTCACCTGCCAAATGCCAGTTTCTCTTTGTTGATGTCCGTGGAAAGATTCGCGAGTTAGCGTTTGACCACAAGCAACTCGCTGAGGCTCTGCGCGAGAAGACAAACGAAGAGATTGACCAATTCTCTCTTCCTTTCAACTGGATTGAACCAGTCCCAGACGAATCATGTGTCCGATTCCGCTTCGACAATCGAAAGTGGCAGTTTGGGCCAAATAGTCAACTCGAAGAGTGGGAGGGACAATTCACCACTGAACCAGATCACCTGCTCCAAAAAGAAGTCATTTCTGCACATAGTGACACTAAAGTCACCGTCGATTTTGTGAATCGTACAGGCAAAACCCTCAGGGTGTTTTGGATCGATTGGAAAGCAAAAGCTATTCCATATATGTCGATCAGGAACGGCGAAACAAAACGACAGATTACATACGTGGGCCATGTTTGGCGACTGGTAGATGTGTCGAACGAAAAGTCCAGGGCAGTCTATTCAGCACCTGACGAGGGAAATCATGTCGCTATCATCGAGCATCTCAGTGACTCTATCCCTGAGGCATCTCCGCCCAGCGACGATGAAGATTCTGAAACTGATGAAGAACCAACGGAGCCCGAAAACGGCCCATGTCTCTATGTCAGAGACTTCAACGTATGGTACAAAAATGAGAACGATGAAGCCTTTCAACTGTCTGAGAAAGGAAACGAAGAGAGCCCTTACGACAAAAGACGCTTATACATATCGCCAGACAAGCAGCATGCAGTCGCGTGGCAGTATACCCCGGGGCAAGACCGCAAGATCAACCTGGTGGAATCATCTCCAGAAGATCAGATTGAGCCAAAACTTCACACAAAGACATATCTCAAACCAGGTGACCGTGTCAGTGTCGACAGACCTCGACTCTTTAACCTCAACACTCATAGCGAAGTTGCAATTGACGATTCGCTTTTCAGGGACCCTTACCAAGTGAGCAATCTGGAATGGAATCATAACAGCCAGGAATATCTCTTTTATTTTAACGAGCGTGGCCATCAACATACCAGATTGATTGGTATCAAAGCTGACGGGAGTGTCAGGACGCTCGTGGAAGAGAAGAGCCGCACATTTGTAGACTATACTAAGTCATACTTTAAGCTCCTCAGAGACTCTGATGAACTCATCTGGGCTAGTGAGCGTGACGGATACAATCATCTGTATCTGATCGACCTCATAACTGGCTCAGTCAAGAACCAGATCACAAAAGGGTCATGGATGGTCAACTTTGTAGAGTCTGTGGATAAAGATCATCGTCGAATCTGGGTGCGAGGCTATGGACTGAAGGACGGTGAAGACCCCTATCACGCACATCTAGCAAGAGTCAATTTCGATGGGTCAGATTTCAAGGTTCTCACAGATGGAGATGGAACTCACTCTTGGTCTTTCTCTCCAGACAAACGCTACTTGATAGACACTTGGTCAAGGGTAGATTGCCCACCGACAACAGTTCTTCGTGAAAGCGAGTCTGGAGAAGAGATAATGACACTCGAGAAGGCGGATTCGAAAGAGTTGGAAGATAAGGGATGGTCTTCTCCCGAGAGGTTCGCTTCCCCTGGCCGGGATGGCAAGACACCTATATACGGAATCATCATTCGACCCGTCGACTTTGACAGCGCCAAGAAATATCCCGTGTTTGATGAGATCTATGCTGGGCCTCATAACTTTCGGGTCCCCAAAGCATTTTCAACTCTCTCAGATCGACGGCGATGGGCAGATGAAGGGTACATCGTCGTGGTCATTGACGGAATGGGTACAAACTGGCGAAACAAAAGCTTCCATGATGTCTGCTATAAGAATCTTCACGATTCAGGACTTCCAGACCATATCGCTTGGTTGGAAGCTGCAGCATCTTCACGACCATGGATGGACCTCTCTCGAGTGGGAATCATGGGCGTTTCAGCAGGAGGACAAAACGCTGTAGCAGGAATGCTTCACCACAGTGGTTTCTTCAAAGCCGGTATAGCAGATTCAGGTTGTCATGATAACCGCATGGATAAGTTATGGTGGAACGAATTGTGGATGGGATACCCAGTGGATGAGGCGTATGAGAAAGCATCTAACATAACTCACGCCAAGAAACTCAAGGGGCCCTTGATGCTGATTGCTGGAGATATGGACGATAATGTCGATCCATCTTCAACGTTTCAAATGGTGAATGCCTTGAACAAGGCGGGTAAGAATTATGAGTTTCTATTTATTCCTGGTGGTGGACATGGCTGTGGGGGAGAGAAGTATGGTCTTGCTCGCCAAAGGGAATTCTTCAAGCGTCATTTGCAGCAAGAGTCTGAGTATCGAGTTGACATGTATGACACCGGCAGTTGATATTGTGGCTTTGGATAGGGATCGATAATTGAAAAGGCCCATTGTATCCGAAGGGGTAGACATGCTTGAACCCCTGTTATACAACCCCAAATAGTGCAACATAAAGGGCCTCGTTGCCTCAAAAGCCACAAACAGTGGTTACAGTAGCAATTGATTTATTTGCAATACATTATCACAGCCCGCCTACGTACCTTATGTTTGGCCAAACTCCTCAATTGAGGCGCTTGCCTTTGCGTTTGTATTGGGTGAGTTTGACCAGTACTGTAGTGCAGTATTGGACAGCTGGCCTTCTGCAATAGGTTCCCTCCTCCACTAAAAAAAAAGTACTGTAGAGGTAGGGATGAAGATCTAAGCTACGCTCTAGCCCAGGAACCGTTACAACCCCCTTGCCCTCTCTCATCTCTTCTTCTCTGTCTTCTTTTTTTCCCTTTTGCTGTACCGCTTCTTCCTCTCTTCTTCATCGCATCGACGGTTGAAGATGAAGATCTCGTACTTGTCCGTTGGGCTTCTCGCCCTCTTCAGCCCCTTGGCAGCCGCCTGGAGCAAAGAAGGTATGTTTTACCCTCCTCTGATTCATGTCTTAACTAATTTCCATCCTCCCAGATCGCGAAATCTTTCGCATTCGAGATGAGATCTCAAAGCATGAGACCGATCCCGCTGCGACCTTCTACGACATCCTCGGCGTCCCTCCCTCTGCTTCGCTCGATGATATTACCAAGGCCTATCGCAAGCAGACCCGAAATCTGCACCCGGACAAGGTCAGACAGGGAATGCGATCCAAGGCTGGAAAGGACAAGAAGGCCGGCGCAAAGACTAAGCCTCCTACCAATGCTGAGATCAAGGCTGCTGTGAAGAAGGCCGGCGAGGCTCAAGCCCGTCTCTCCCTCATCGCTAACATCCTTCGTGGCCCCGAGCGCGACCGATATGACCATTTCCTGTCCAATGGCTTCCCTCTCTGGAAGGGCACCGACTACTATTACAACCGATACCGCCCCGGCCTGGGCACGGTCATCGTTGGTCTTTTCCTCGTTGTAGGTGGTGGTATTCACTACTTCACTTTGTACATGAGCTGGAAGCGACAGAAGGAGTTTGTCGAGCGCTACATCAAGTTCGCCCGCGACACCGCTTGGGGTGGTGGTCTTAACATCCCTGGCGTCGACGCAGCTCCTGCTCCAGCCCCTGCTGCATCTCCCGCGCCCGCTAGCGACGAGGAAGAGGCTCCTCCTCTGCCCCAGAACCGACGAGAGCGCCGTATGCAGGAGAAGGCGGCCAAGCGCGATGGTGCTCGTCCTGCTAAGAAGACGCGCCGTGCTGCTCAGGCTTCCTCTGGAACTGCTACTCCTACCCCTGCTGCTGGACCTACTGGTGCTCGCAAGCGAGTTGTTGCTGAGAATGGCAAGATCCTTGTTGTTGACTCCCTTGGTGATGTCTACCTCGAGGGAGAGGATGAGGAGGGCGAGGTCCATGAGTTCCTCCTTGACGTAAGTTATCACAATTCTGTCGAAATGGCTAAACTAACATGTGATAGCCCAACGAGCTTGCCAAGCCTACCATCAAGGATACCGCAGTCTTCCGCGCACCCATCTTCCTGTTCAACATCACTGCCGGCCGCTTCCTTTCCAAGAAGCCCACCGACCTCGAGATCGAGATCCCCGCTGAGGATGAGGACTCTGATGTTCCCCAGCCCACCCCCAGCACTGACTCCGCCGGCGAGGACTTTGAGCTTCTTGACAAGAGCACCGATTCTCTCACCAAGGCCAAGGCATCTGGCGCTTCGCAGGGCAAGGCTAACAAGCGCAAGGGCAAGAAGAGGTAAACTTTGGGAGTGCTTTCTAACAAAAGTTGACTGGGGCTGGGAGTGGATGGAGTTGGTGTGAAACGGGGAGGATGCATTTTGTCAAAAGGACGTTTAAATCTTAAATGCTTGCCATGTTATAGTAGATGTCATTCATGAAAAGGACTAGATTTGGGATATGCCTTGTGTTCAGACTCTCTGCTTTGGGCCTTCATGTGCTGACTATCAGTGATATTTTGGGATGGTCTTAGTCAATTGGAACAAAGACGACTTGTAGACAAGAAACCTCGTATAATACCAATTTCAGCTCTAGTTTTCTTGGCCTCTGGCATTGTAGCTGTACTTCAACCTTTATAACGATCCCAAACTTCTAATGACCCGGCCATAATTCATCACAATAGCTTATATATGGCAACTATAGCTAGGCTTGTTCTTCTTTCATTCTTTGGCTTCAAAGTCTATGATAATAAGGCCCCTCCGTACCAATTCATCTGAGCTTAATTAAATTTGGGTTGAGTAGTCTTCAATGGCTGCATACGGAACCCGAACTGTATTACATATCTAGGGTTGCAACGAAGCTGCTGACTCTCTGAGAGGCGGATATTACGGACATTTATATCCGGTCAACCTCTCCTACCAGCACAACATTAGTTGACCCCATTTCCATGGACAAAAGGAGGGAAAGGAAGCAGAATGTCGTAATCCCCGTCCATTGTCTTGCGTGCTTTCTGATTAGATAGCTAGCCAACTCTGTGCTTGCCATTCCGCAACTCCATTGGGAATATGTAGTTAGACAATAACCCACTTTGACGACTATTGATCATGCTAATCTTTTTGCCATTGTTGATCATCTTTTATATAACTCCCGCAAAGATACGCCTTTTTCGCGTTCTTAGCATGTTGACTATTTGTTGATCACCGTTTCTGTTTAACTCTCATCAACGTGTCTGTTGAGCAACGATGACGTCCTCGAATCAACCTGAGAGGCCAAATGTCTCTGGTGATAGCATCACGGAAACATTTCCGAGTCAAGATTCAGCCGAGGACACCAAGGTTCGCAATTCAGTCGAGTCAACTGAAGAAATGGGCTCCGGCAACGTCGTGTTGCAGTCTTCAAAGTATGAAACGAGTTTCCTTCGTAGGATATTGACACCAAAGAATTGTCGATGGAACGATGAGTCGCCACCAGCTTTGTCTATGAGACATTGCTGTCTCTACGCCATGGTATGTTAATTAATCACCTCAACCCCAAAGAGTCAATATGGATTGACAGAAATAGGCATCAGGTATTACAGTTGCCAACCTCTACTACAATCAGCCAATTCTCAACAAGATAGCCGCAACTTTCAATGTCTCATACGAAGAGTCATCCCAGGTTGCAACGTTGTTACAGTCAGGCTACGCAGCTGGTCTCATTTTTGTTCTTCCACTCGGGGATATTCTCGAAAGACGCCCGTTCATCATAGCTCTAGTTTTGGCCACTGCAACAATGGTAAGCTCTGTGTAGCATATTACTATATCCAGCAGCTGACATCATGTAGTGGATAGGACTCTGTGTGACGAATGACTTTACCGTCTTCCGCGCCTTATCTTTTGTATGCGGTGCTACCACAGTGACACCACAGCTGATGGTTCCCCTAGTGGGAGACTTTGCGCCAGCGCATCGAAAGGCCTCTCTTCTTGCTATCGTCACATCAGGACTTATGCTGGGTCTGTTGATGGCGAGGTTGCTCTCAGGAGTGGTAGCGAATTTCACAAGTTGGCGCAACATTTACTGGTTGGCATGCGGCCTGCAGTACCTCATGGTTGCTGTGCTCTTCTGCTTCATGCCTGACTATCCGTCTACCAATCCGGATGGGCTGAACTATCTCTATGCTCTTTGGTCTATTCCTCGTATGATGGTCACTGAGCCTGTTCTGATACAGGCTTGTCTCATTGCCTTTTCGCTGTCAGCTGTGTTCACGTCGTTTTGGACAACATTGACATTTCTACTCGCTTCTCCGCCCTTTGACTATACATCTCTACAGATTGGTCTCTTTTCTCTTACTGCGCTTGCGACCATCTTGTCGATCCCCTTGATTGGGAGGCTGATTGATCGTTATGTGCCTCTACTCTCGACAATAGGCGGCCAGATCCTGGCGTTGACTGGAGCTATCGTGGGAACTTTCACTGGAAACCTCACTGTTGCCGGACCTGTGATTCAGGCTATCGGTATAGATGTCGGTATGCAGACAGCACAAGTGTCGAACCGCGCAGCCATCTTCAGCATCAATCCCAAGGCGCGAAATAGGGTTAACACGGCCTACATGGCTCTGGCGTTTGCTGGACAATTGACAGGCACGGCGGTGGGAAACAGACTATACGCTAGTGGAGGCTGGAGGAGAAGCGGTGGATGCAGCAGTAAGTCAACTCAACAGTCTCTGCGTTCTCAAAACTCTCTTCTTTCGCAAGCAAATTGCTAATGTGGATATGAACAGTCGCATTCGTCGGATTGTCCATCTTGATTGCTGTCGCAAGAGGACCCAGGGAAAAGGGATGGATTGGCTGGACAGGAGGTTGGCATCCTCGACGAGAAAAGCCCGTGATAACACAAACAGAAGATGAAGAACAAGGCGAAGAACAGGACAGGAAGGAGGAAAGGTGAAATAAAAAGTATACAGTTTAAAATAGAGTTGTTTCATAGACGGACAACTGGCCGACAGTTCCACTAGTCACCGCCGCAATATCCTGTCAATCACTTGAGATCAGCCTCAAAATGCAACATCGCCAAGAGACAATAGGCATAGCTATGAACTTTGACAGGGTATTGCCTTGTCAGTTCAGTTTGGCTACTAAAAGAGACTCTCGGAAGCTGAGCCTCCATGAGCCCCTCATTTGGCGTAGCACGGGTCCGCGGGTACCTAAACGGGGGTCCTCTGGCTCTAGAAATATATCCATCTTCCTTCAGGATTCGTTTTACCATTATGAGCGGTAAGCATTAAAAGATGACGGCTCTGTGTTCATCCTTTTCTTCCTCTTATGTAATCTCGTCTGATCGCATCAATTTTCTTGTTTCCATTTCTTGGCATATTTGTTGATCAAGCGCAGTCGTAGCTGCAGGATGGCTATTCCACTTACAATGGCTGGACCACAGTATCATGACGACTTCGATTCTACACCTAAGCAAGGCTCAACACCAACACAAGATCAACCTTTAGACCAGCCTCGAGAACGGGTACAACCGTTGTCAGCTCACGATACGTCATCTCTTCCCGCCAAAGATCATATATGGAAGGCCAGACTTAACCTTCGTCTCTTCTCCATCTGTGTTGACGCTCTTCTTCTTGTCATTGTCTCTTTATTGGCCTCTAGTTCTAGTGATGGAACAATCTCCATCATCTTCTTTGGGGTTATCGTATGTACCTATCTATTCTCATGACTCTTTCACCTATTGACGAAGAAAACAACTTAGACTACCCTTGCTCTAATATGGAACTTTGCGGACTCTATCCATCTCTGGACCAGAAGATATCGCAGCTTTAGTCCCTCCGTACGGATTTGCCTCGATCTCCCCTTATCGATTCTCTTTGCAATCTTGTCACTTACCTGTGGCTATTTCGGTCCTTCGGATCACGCAGTTCCCGGCTCAGCTCCAAGCACAGACGAGTCACATCTTGGGAGACGAGCGCTCGGATGTTTCGGCATCACCAAAGTGTAAGTCTACTGCTATGTTGAAGTCTCACATTTTTATCTTACTGACTTGCAATTGGTTTGTTCAGTCTCGTTCACATGATTCTAGTTTTCGTGGCTTACTACGAGAGAACACAAGCAAAGTCGTCCACATTACAAAATAACTTTGAGAGGACTGAGGGGGATATACCCAGAGACGAGGAAGAAGGGTTGCTATTTAGCGAAGATTCTGTCTCAAACAGATAGTCGTGCTCATTGGCAGCTAGCGACTTGCGTTTCGTTTTCCACGCATTATGCCAATAACATGGAGAGATACCAACACAAGGAAGTAACAAGCATAGGAGATACCACCACCACTAAATCCTTTTTTATCCTGCTCCTAATTTTCAGTCTCAGTACGTTCAATGCCCAGTCTCTACCCCATCACTGCCAACTCACATCTTCCCACCGCCTGGGGGGAATCGGGTAGAGTCTGCTTCCTGTTGAGCTTGTTCTTCCCATCAGTAATCTTAAGGCACACATGACATAGCAAATCCCCAGGGCCGACGTTTTCCTTTAGCTCCAGAATGTCGCAGCCCTTTTCCCCTGCAGTGATAACGGTACCGCAAGGGAAGAATCGGCCAAAAGGTTCGAGTCTCGATTTACAGAGCCAGCACGAGGCAACGCGGGTGACTTGACGGCACATATTGGATAGGGAGGGCCTGGTGAGAGCTGATATATGTAGTCACGTAACGTTTATGAAATCCTACTGCGTACCTGAAGGGGAGTGGTGATGAGCTTAGGACGACAGTTGGGTTTGGCTGCTGAGATGCGAAGTCTGGTGCTTAGGAAGCTGAGATGAGTTGTAGACTTGAGACTACAGCGTCGAAAGGATGTGCCATTTTATAACAGAGATGGCCATTGCAACAATTCACCGTTATCAGTAAATTCACTGAACGTTGCCTCTTACATGCAATCATTGTATTGAGATTCTTTGTTCTGGATTAGACTCCTCGTGAACAACAGGTACACCACAGCGTTGGACGGAGAGAACAATGGCATAAACCTATTCACCGCAGACACAATTCCATCAAATACGTGAACGCACTATTCTGCCCATCGATCATTGAATTACTTATGTGCAGTGCCCCTAAGAACTTCGATGTTGGGTCGAGCTTGTAGCTTTCATGAATTAGACCAACATTTGATGGGCCTAATAATGCATATGGGTTAAGTAGAACTAAAATTAGGCTCTTGGACGAAAGTATCAATCTTACCAAGCAAAACAATAGGTTGTAGACATAGTGACACAAGGTACATAGAAAATCTTCTTTTTAAGTCTCTTAACTTCTTTTGAACTACAAAATGTCGACAAATACACGTCCCTTGCCAAGTCTTCATCCTAAGACCCAACAGAGACCATTCTCTCACTACTTATCATGCCCGCCTCCTCTTCCCAAAGGATATATATACCGCACATCTTGTCACAAAGGAGACGCTGCCCTGCGTAGAATCATGCATGCCAAGTTTCCCAACAAGCTAACAAAAACTCCTTCCCAAGTACTTCGTGTCCAGATCAGCAAACGCTTAGTACACACGCTTGAAGGGTGGCACGGGCTTGCACTCGGCCTCGTCCAGGGTGTTGGCGATGACCTTTCGGTAGGCCAGGTCGACCTTGCCGTGAGGCTCCTTCTGGAAAGAAAGAGTGTGCTTCATCCAGTTCTCGTCATCTCGCTCGGGGAAATCCTCGCGGGCGTGAGCACCACGAGACTCCTTTCGGTTGGCGGCAGAGGTGGCAGTTTGGATACTGTACATCGTGTCAATATTACTTCGGTGTGTCAGAATAGAGTAAAAACTTACGCGCAGGTGAGCAAGTTGCGGAGCTCAAGAGTCTCAACGAGATCAGAGTTCCAGATCATGCTGCGATCCTTCATGCCAACCTGGCTGTACATGCCATCAATCTCCTTCATCTTGCGAACACCCTCGTCCAAACTCTCCTGGGTTCGGAAAACGCTGACATCAGTCTGCATAGCCTTCTGCATGGCAAGTCGGATCTCAGCGGTGCTCTTAGGACCATCAGCAGTTCGGACCTTGTCGAGGACCTCGATGTGGTCGGAAGCAGCATCAGCGGCAACGGGCTTCAGGGCGTCACCCGGGTTGAACTTATCACGAATGGTATGCGAAACGGCACGACCGAAGACAACAAGATCGAGAAGAGAGTTGGCACCCAGACGGTTAGCACCGTGGACTGACACACAAGCGGCCTCACCGCAAGCGTACAGACCAGGGACAACCTTATCCTCACCCTTCTCGTCAACGGTAAGGACCTCACCAGTGTATCGTGTAGGAATACCACCCATGTTGTAGTGGACGGTAGGAAGAACGGGAATGGGCTGCTTGCGGACATCAACACCAGCGAAGATACCAGCGGTCTCAGAGATACCGGGCAGACGCTCAGCAAGAATCTCAGCGGGCAGATGGCTGAGCTGGAGGTAGATGTGATCCTTCTCAGCACCAACACCACGGCCCTCACGGATCTCCATGGTCATGGATCGAGAAACGACATCACGAGAGGCAAGATCCTTGGCGGTGGGGGCATATCGCTCCATGAATCGCTCACCCTCAGAGTTGAGGAGGTAACCACCCTCACCACGAGAACCCTCGGTGATCAGGCAACCAGCTCCGTAGATACCGGTAGGGTGGAACTGGACGAACTCAAGATCCTGGTTGGGGAGACCGGCACGGGCAACCATGGCCATACCGTCACCGGTACAGGTGTGGGCAGATGTGCAAGAGAAGTAGGCTCGGCCGTAACCACCAGTAGCGAGAACAGTGTGGTTGGCAAGGAATCGGTGCAGGGTGCCGTCCTCCTGGTTGTAGGCGAGGACACCGCGGCACTCACCATCCTGCATAATCAGGTCGAGGGCGAAGTACTCGATGAAGTAGTTGGTCTTGTGTCGGAGAGACTGTCCGTAGAGAGTGTGAAGAAGGGCGTGGCCGGTTCGGTCAGCAGCAGCGCAGCATCGGTAAGCCTGTCCACCCTTTCCGTACTGCTTGGATTGGCCACCGAAAGCTCGCTGGTAACTGATGAAATTGTCAGTAGCCGCTGTGTGGGCGGATTTCAAAGTCCAGACTCACATCTTGCCATCCTCAGTTCGCGAGAAGGGGCAACCGTAGTTCTCAAGCTCGATAATGGAAGCAGGAGCCTCTCGGGTCATGTAGTGAATAGCATCCTGGTCACCCAGCCAATCGGAACCCTTGACGGTATCGTACATGTGCCATCGCCAGTCGTCCTCGTGCATGTTACCTAGGGCAGCGTTGATACCACCCTGGGCGGCGACGGTGTGAGATCGAGTAGGGAAAAGCTTGGAGATACAGGCAGTGTTGAAGCCAGCCTCAGCGAGACCGAAAGCAGCTCGCAGACCGGCACCACCAGCACCAACGACGAGAGCATCATACTCGTGGTCCTGAAAAGTGTCAATTGACGAGATCTGTGATTCGCGGATGATCGGGTAGACGTACGATGACGGCGTACTTGTTGCTCACGAAAGGAGAGGCCTCCTTAGCTCGCAGAGGACCATTGCCAGTGATAACTCGGGCTGTGGACAGCTCGTCAGTATTTCAAAGCTGCGCGTAGGATTCGGATGGAAGCGTACCAACAGGTCGAGTGGTGGAGAAAGCTCGAGAAGGGAACCTAGCAGCCCGCGTGAACTATCAAGAGGTTAGCAAAGCGCATTGAGGAGCTGACGAAGCTTCTGCGGCGGACAATCTGTTTCATGATGCCATCACAGAAGCCAGACCAGGGACTACTCACAGCAGGGCCGACGGCCAATCTCCTCATTGCCATAGAAGAAGCCATCATCAACTAAAGTCACTATGACCAAGACCAAACTGCATCCGCGGGGAGAATCGAAAGGGTGGTATTTGACGATATCCTCGGGTGGCGGAGGAGCAGGACTTTTGTTAGATGTGGTTTTGGAGGAGAGAGAGAATGGATTGAATTGACTGTCCAACCAATCGACAATTCCCCTTGATGTTTTTTTGGGTCTCTCGTCCTTCGCGAGCCTCGATCGGACGGATTCTCTCGGCTCCTCGGTTGATCCAACCAATCAGCGTTGGCTTATTAGCAGCGCCGATTATTCGCCGCCTACTGGACGTGGACGCTGTAAGCCACTGAAGATATAGGGACTCGGAAGTCAATGACCTCGCTGTGCTGTCAAATGATAGAGCTCCTTGAGTCCGAGGTGCGTCGTTGTCGAAGCCAATTGGTTTTTTGATTCTCAACTGTTCTCATAATACTGCATCCAATGTTACCCTCCTTCGATCTTCGTCCAACATCAAAGCCCAATGGATCGGGAAGATTCGCCTTTGTGAGTCTAACAAATCCATGACGTTAAAGACAATCTCATCACGTGTCCGCGGATGTACATTTTGCCCTTCGGCTCCCCGTTTCCCCCGCCTATTCCGATACCAACGGCATGTGCTGACGGCTCCACCTCCAGCTGCTGTCAGTCGTAACAACACGACCCGGCCCGGAACCAATTTTCGGGGCCGGTCATCAAAGTCCGGTTTTCGTACTGCAGTCGACAGCCTTGACAACTCACAGGGTTCAAATAGAACGTGGAAAGAATCCTCTTTCTCCTGTGATGAGCTAAAACAATAAAAGACTACGCTTAACCTAAGCGTCATGATGGGAGCCTTGGAACTTATGATCATATATATTCGTAAAGTCTGATTAGATGTTGAAAGGCATTCCTCAGGACACCTCCATATTCTACTTCTTGGTCTTAGACCTCTCAGACTACAATAAGATATGAGATACGTCACATTTAAACGTCAGGACATTCAAGAATTAACAGATAGAATCTTGACGTCTACTGGCTCTACCTTTCTCCATCATTCCCTGACTTTATAATCATGTCGCTCTGTATCTTTATACTGCCAGAATCAGTACAGCCAACTCCTTCTCTTTCTTCCCTTGTAAAACAAGTCCTCCTAACCCGTATGCAACCGCAACCAGGATATCTTACTAAATCTAATTCGATAATACTTCACGAAGCATAACCAAGAAATTGTCGGTCAGCTTGTGGACTTCTCTCACAGGAGGCTTAACGGGCTCTCCAGCGCTTCGTCGCAAGCGATCCTGTCGCTTGGCTCTGCGTCGCCTCTCAGCCTCGATGGGATCTAACTCATCTTCTGCTTCTGCCTCTGCCTCGTCCTCTGAGCCATCATCATAAGCCATGTCCTCGAGGTCTTCGCTGTCTAATCCAAAGTCTGATGAGTTGAAAGCCATTGCCGTTGGCATCATGTCACTTCCTGCATGGCCCTCGGCCGCCATCTTCTGCCTGGTTTTATCGTTGTGCCACTTCTTTCGAGCCTCTTGCCATGCAATAAGAGAGTTGATCTCTGCAATTGCCTTGTCTTTATCCAGAATTCCAGCACTGACACCGCCCTCGAACAAGGCGTTGACATTAAG